AAAATTTAATGTGATTTGAGAGTATTTATTGGAAATTTGTTCTTTCAGCAGTTCTTATTTGGCGATTATCAAAGTCGACAACGTGCTGCAAGTGCACAGAAACAACTGATTGGTGATATAATGAAAAGTCGAAAAGCGTGTCAGGATCTTGATTTGAGGTTAGAGTTGAGTTGATTTGATTTCATTTCATTTGCAGTATTGTAATTCGTAAACATAAATTTTTTTTCGTTGATTATTTGTTGTATTCATTTTGAAATGTTGTTGAACCACTGAAATGTTTTCTTTTTTTGGTTTTTAGTTTCTAGTCGAATTGTTGAGGGTGAATGAAATGAGATGTTTTGTGGAGTTTGAGTGGATTGTTTGAGTTTTGGTTAAGACACACGCAGTTCATCGCATAGTTTTAGTGAAAAACAATTGAGAAATTTGTCCATTCATCAAATTTGATTTCTTCGGAGAATTTAGGAATGGTCTGGAGTTACCGAAGAGTCCGTACTTTTGGCCAATATACAAAGAGAAGTCAACAAGGGAAGCGCTCCTTGATGTGCGAGGAGGCGCACCTTCAAGTAAAAGGGCGCATATTGTGGGTGTTAGTGAAGATGGATATGAATGTGTGGATGACGATTATGAAAGCAATGACGATGGTGATGACGACGAGATTTATAAATATCCAAATGGCAAATTGGCACCGGCCGAACGGGAGTTGAACGAATTGAATGAAACAGAGCTGATGGATAGGTGGGTTTGTTTATTTAGTTTTTGATTTATTTGAGTGAGCGATTGATATGGAATGTGTACAGATATGTATTGTAATTGGATTTGGTCATTTGCAATTGATTGAATTGTCAAATGGATTGTTTGATTTGATGGACAAGAAGTTATTGACAATGGACAATGTCATTGAATTGTGATTTGATCAAGGAGATAATCAGTCATCTCATTTTTTGTTTGGTTTGAGATTGGAGGATTTGACAGCATATCTGCGTGAAGAACACAACTATTGTGTTTGGTGTGGATGCCAGTATGAAAGTAACGAGGAATTGTCAACGCAGTGCCCTGGTTCGACACGATGCGAGCATGAGGAGGACGGTGCTTTGGATGAGTAATGAATGGTGAGAACGGATGGATGGATTTGGGATATGCGGGAGGATTATTCGAGGGATATTTATGTTTGTGTTTGAGGTTATGAAAACAGATCAGTTAATCGTTGTGGGTGGGTTGCTTACCTCATAATTGAATAATGCAAAAAGGATGTTGTATATATTGATAGTGGATGTTATATGAGGCGATATGATGGATGTAATGTAATAGTGTTGGATGTAAAACAGCTTATCGGATAAGTTTTCAGAATTTCAGAATTGGATTGGATTTACGAGATCAGGTCGCTTTGTAGTATTGCATACAGCCGTGTTGTTTATGAACAATTGAATTGAATGAATGAGAATATGATGTAGATAAATGATTCACTGAATTGATGCGTTATGAAGTTTACTTGATGAGATTGGTCGTTGACTATTCATTCGATTTTAAGAAGACAAATATTTTGATGTATTATTTTCTGTTAAGGTGATGCTTATTAATGGTATTTGATGTTTCAGTTTCTTTTTTTGATTTAGTCATTTAGTTCGTGTTTAGTTGATTAGTGCTGCTGAGTCTCTTTTAGTGAATGGCGAATAATTTGCCCATGGGAGTGGGTGTTTTCCTGAAGGATGGGCGAGAAAAGGAGGAGTTTACAATGGGAAAAGAGAAAACAATCTATGGATAGTCGAGTTTTGGGTGTTCAGGATTTGCAATGCATCGTCATTGTTGTCGTCGAGGATTTGGCAATATGTCTACACAACGAAGTTTTTTTTGATAATCGTTAGGATGTGAGGATTGATAATTGGACAAGAATTTGGTGATAAATGATAACATTTGTAGGTAGAGATCGAGATTGCTGGTACTGTATTGTATATTATCCATTTGGTTTTTGCAGGGTTGTATTGTGTTTTTGCGGATTTTAGTTTGCGTGTGGTCGTAATTATGCGTAAACAGAACGAGTTCGGCTCTTTGGATACGGTAATGAAATTATTTATGATTTCAGGTGATCAGCTGAAAGTGTCAATTGGGAATATGAGCGGCAGCAGCAGTGAGAAATTCACGAAAGTATTGGTGAGTGGGGATGTTAACGGGCGTTTTGAACAGCTTATTAAGCGAGTGACAAATGTGAATAGAAAGGTTTATGATGTGTTTGGTGTTGTTGTGTTAATGAAACTTTTTGCATTGTTATGTTGTTCAACGTTTAGTGTTTAGTTGGTTTATGATGTTTTGCGTTTTGATAGAAAATGTTTGCAGTGGATTAGTTAAGGTTTTGTGAGATATTTGAGGTGATAATTAGTTTGGGAGAATTGAGAAACGTTGGATTGAGTGTATTGTAATTGTTCATCAGGCATTGAATCTGCTTTATGAAGTCGTTTTAGTCGTAGGAGCTTTTTTTGAGTGATTGGATATTTTCAGTTGGTAGATTAGTATTCAGGAGGTTTAGTTTAGTTCAGTGCATATGAAATTATGAAGTATTATGGATAAATTAAGTGTTTTTGACGAATTGACATTGTTATTGTTTATAGAATGGTCCATTTGATGTGCTCATCTGTGTGGGAGAGTTTTTTGGTGCAAACGAGGAAAGAAATGAAGATGTGGTCAGTGGAAAGGTGGAATTTCCGATCAATACTTACATTCTGGGTGGGTTATTGTTTGGTATTGTTTTTGGTTGTTATTGTTTTCAATCAGTGTTTTATAGTAGTTATTGTAGTGACTATTGTTATGGTAATCTCATTGTTACAGTGATTGTTGCGATTATTAGTTGGGAATTTTGTTTTGAGTTTGAGAGGAAATGTGGCCCATCGATAGTGGATCATTGGTTCATTTTAGGTCCGTGCTGCCCGTCGACATCGGCTTATTACCCAGAAGAAAGTGTGGAATTTTCGTCGAATCTGACGTATTTGGGCAAGAAAGGTGTGCTGAATACAACTACCGGCTTGAGAATAGCTTACCTGAGTGGTATCGAGGCAGCGCAGTCGAACGCGTTTCAAGTTAGTGCATTGATAATTCACAAAAAATTGATAATTTTCGTTAGTTTCATTGTGTGATTAAGATTGCTTATAGTTCACAGCAGATACGGTCAACGAGTTGTTGTTACCGATCAAAGTGGAATCGGGATTCTTGGGAGTGGACATTTTACTGACGTCGATGTGGCCAGCACAGGTTGGTTTGCCTTTATTCGGCTCTTTTTTAGTTTGCCATGAGAGGAAACCTTTCAGCCGAAAAGAGTTTTCGAACAATATTTGAATTGTATTAAATGTTGAAAATTGTTGTTTTTGATTACTTTTCGATATGATTACTTGGGTGGTTGGTAATAGTGTGATATGCGTACAGTTGTGGGCTGTCTTAATCGTATTTGAATCGCTGAGAGAGAATGTGAAGGGGCAGTAAATAGCTAGCGATCTGTTTATTTGTTCATAGGAATTGGATGATGGATAAGTGAATGGGTAATTACTGTTGCGTAAATATTTTGATGGAAGTTTTGATCTGTGGTTCTTTTGATTATACGGAAGCAGTTTTATCGTAAGAATTCGAACGGTGAGATCAGATGTGTTAGCGTTTTTATTAGAGTTTTTTGATAGGAACTCGTTGAATTCTGGTAATGTTGTTGTTACCGTAGGGTAATTATGTGGCTCAGGCAGATGGAACTTTTAATAAATCGAGTGTGTTGATGGAATTCCAAGCCTGAGTTGCATAATTACCGTAAAATTTTTTGTTGAAAGTTTTGATCTACCATTAGATCATAACGTCTTTATTGTGAGAGTGATATGGGTCAATTGATAATGGTTTTAGGAAAGAGAATGGTGATAGCATTGATGGTAATAATGAGAGTAATGATAATGAGTATTTAAGGTATGGAAGCATTCCTCGAATCATCCATCACAAGAGGTGAACGGAAGCCGTCTGATATCGAAATTAGCGACTGCGTTGAAACCGCGTTATCATTTCGCTGGAATGGGAATTCATTATGAACGAGCTCCGTACAGGTTGGTTTTAGCACGTTTGTTTTGTTTTGTCATTGGTCATTTATTGTTTGACGGTATTTTTGTAATTGTATTTGTATTTATTGACGGTATTTTTGTAATTGTAATTGTTTTTACTTCATTTTCTATTTTTAATTTGATAATTGTGTTGCAGTTTAATTATATAGTTTATATTCAGTTTTATGTTTTAATAATTATATTTTTCAGTAATCACATTTTATGATCATAGTTATTGTTCATTATTGTTATCATTATAATTATTATTGTGGTGATCTTAAGAATAGTTTATTTGGAAGAGATAAGAGTAATTTGAAGGAACCATCGAGTGTTATTGGAAGCAGCACAACACGTGACACGTTTCATCGGTCTGGCTGCCGTGGATAACGCCGAGAAAGAGAAGTGGTTATATGCGTTCTCGATCAAGTCAATGCGACAAATCAGCAATCGAAGCGAACTAACCCAACAACCACCGAACACATCCGAATTTCCGTATATGGAAATCATTGCGGACTTCATTCTTGAGTTAGTTTTTATTGTTCAGTTGGGGATTTGATTTTAGTATCCAGGTATTAAGATCTAGGTAAATATCTTAATAATATCTTTTCAATATTCATTTTATTGGTATGGAATAATTTTAACTTCAGAGAAAGGGCGGAAACTCAGAAGCGAGAGAATGAAGCACGACAAGGGCAGTTTTTCTTCGATATGTCTTCGGAAGGGATGGAGGAAGACACGGTCGATCGTGGTGGAAGGAAGCGTCGCCATCCGAGGGAAGAGATGCCTCGAGAGGCTCGTGTCCAGCAACCGTGCTGGTTCTGTTTATCGAATGTCGATGTGGAAAAGTATTTAATTGTTGCGGTGGCTAACCACTGTTACGCAGCAATGCCAAAAGGACCATTGAACAATGATCATATAATGATTTTATCAATTGGTAAATTGAGTGATTGTTATCGTTATGATTGTCATGATGTGGGAGAGTTGGAAACCTTAATGTGTTTTCTTCTTTGTAAATCTCAAAATTCAGGTCATATACAATCGCTAGTGGCAGCACCGCAAGAGGTGCGTGATGAAATTGAGCAATTCAAGAAAGCGTTCACGTTGATGTTCAATAAGCAAAATAAGGTCATAGTGGCATTCGAGCGAAATTATAAAACGCAACATTTACAGGTGATTTTGTTAATTTAATTTGAATTGTGAATTGTAAATTATTCGTTTATATCATTTTTTGTTTGTGGTTTCTTAAGTGGTCTGGGGATTGTTTCTTTTCGGTTTTGTAGCGATAGTGATAATATTGATGATATGGAAGTAATGATGGAAATAATAGTAATGAAGCAGTAATGAAATTGATTGTAATATGTGCGGTTTTAGTTACAAATCGTCGCTATACCAAAGTTGTGCTCAAAGGCGTTGAAGAGTTCATTCTTGAATGCGGCACAATTGAAAAATATCGAATTGACGTTTATGGAGCCCGAACAGCAGGTGAGTGATTAAGATTATGAGGGTATGATGAGTGTGGTAGTCCTTTGATATTAAGGAGATGTTCATTCATTTGTTGATTTATTTGTTTTGTTGTTCATTTGTTTGGTTGTGACGAACAGAAAGAAATATATTTATTTTTCAATTGAAGATTTGGGACATGGTCAACGAAGGATGTCCGTATTTCTACGTGGAATTACCGGATGGATCGCGTTTATTTTCGTTATCGATGCGCAATTTCCCGTTGCAGTTTGGACGAGAGGTTGGTTGTTTTTGAGGTCATTTGGATTTGTATATGGAATCGTTGATTCGTGGTTTTAGATATTGTAAATATGGACATATGAAAGCGAATCTTTATAAGTGTGTGTTTAAAGTTATTCTTTTTCTGACTGAATAAGCTGATTGAAATATCTCTGGTGAAAGTTTTGAGTTGTAGGAAGTGGTCATATTAACTAGTTTTAGGTGCTGTGTGGAAGTGCACTGTTGAATTGCGAAGAAAAAGTGGATTGGCGCGGTTGCGAGATGAAACGAGACGAGCAAGCGGAATTGGTTAAACGACTGCAGAATTCATTCAAGGAGTTCGATTTCACGGATGAAGGTGATAGCGATGGTGATGGCGATAGTGGCGGTGAGGAGAAATGATTGGTGGGAATACATCGGTCGATGGTATATGGATGGCAGGGATATTGTTACGATTGTATTGTTAACATTAATATTGTTACTTTATTATCACTTTGATATCGGTATCATTAAGAATATCTGTATGTATGGTATTTAGTACATATATATATATATTGTTGTTGTTTCTGGTTTGTTGCTGATGATTAGTGAAGGATTTGAAAGGAATGTGTTTAGAGGTGGAACTGATGATGTTTTGATTGAGATTGTTGAATTGTTTTGGGATTTAGTGCAGTTTTGGTTTGTGAAGATATGAATTTGCATTGGAGATTTAGTGTTGTATTGCGATTGGCGATTTGATTTTGATTGTTTGACAGTTATTCGATATTTGAGGTTGGAATTGTTACCGTGACATGGATCGTATTGTATGTAATGTGTGATGGTTTTTGTATGTTTTGATAAGTTGTGTTAAATTTTAATTGTTACATTATTATCATTATTGTTGGGTTTGTTATTGTTTTGGTCTCATTGTTGTTGTTGTTATTATTATTAGATTGAAAATTGAATGAATACAAGAATGAAACAAAAATATATTTGGCTTATATTTACAGATTGTGCATGGAAAGGTGAATGCATCCTGAATTGGGCATATATATGATAATTTGTCATTTGAATCATAGAACGATAAGATTTGTTCGGAGGATGTTCTATTTGAGCGAGCATTTAAGTTGCGTAAAATAACAATGAGGAGTGAAACAAGGAGTTATTGCAAAAAATCATTAGTTATACGAAGTTTTCAGAAGATATTCGAGGACATCGTGCGATTATTTATGTTATGAATATGACATTTATGAGTTTTTGATAATTTCATATGTAATAGAAGTGACACTGGAAGATATAATGGATTGGTTCCGTATAGAATAGGATTTATTTTAGGATTATAATTGTTAGAATTTCGTGTCGTTATGAAAGAATCGAGATGTACGGTTTTATATTGGTGAACTGAGTGAATACAATGGTTATTTGAGATTTTGATGTTTCAGGGTAAAGCTGAAGAAGCTGTACGTCAAATAGAAGTAGAAGAGAATCGTGCGATTTGGAATTGAGTTGATTTTCGGGATTGTTCGAGTGGTTGGACGATTTAATCGATTCAATTGGACTGGACTTGAGAGGTGGTTAACAAGCGATTCAGTATGGACACGTCGTTTTCAGCGATGAATACGAGTGGCGAGACTTTTGAGGTTTGAACTTAATTTTATTCGTAAAATGAGTATTTTGATATATTACCCTGAAATGAGATCAGTTTTATGAAGAAATCAGTGAGATTTAGTGATGATATCTTGGTTGGTTGATGGGATATGAATGAAATTTTCAGGTTGAGAAGATCATCGCTATAAGGACTGATAAAGACGGTCGAACGTTGTATAAAGTGAGATGGTTGGGATTTGACGAAGCAGATGATACGTGGGAACCGTACGAGAATTTGGCTGAAGATTGCGATCGATTGATAGAAACGTTCTATTTGAATAGCGAAGGAGAGGAGGGCAATTTGAACGAGAATCAGATCGATGATGAATTTGCTGAGGAGTTGATTGAAGGCGGAGGTAGTCATGAGGAACTGGGTGAGGGGTTTATGGACAGTTTGATTCAATCAGAGGTGGACGGTACGATCGTTGTGGCACGAGGACAGTTGCAACAAGAAGATGGAATCAGTTATGAGGTAGTTTTGTGGATTTGTGATTCGTTTATTTATTGGTTATTGGTGGTATTTGTTTGTATTGGTCAGTGAGCATTTGTATTGGTCATTATGTGAGTTGGTCAAAGGATGTATCTCTGCAATGAGCAGTATTGCATTTATCATAATCATTGTATGTTTAATGTTGAATGCGTTTTGAGATGGTGAATTTTTAAATT